CAACAAGTATACAATCTAACTGTGTACGCCTGACTTGTGCAAATGTATGCACAACATTTGTGCAACTTTTAATTTTAGAAACAAAGTTTGAGGACTTCAGCTGGAGAAATTACAAACTCACACTGACAATTCTGAAATAAGTTCAGTAACTGTTTAAAAATCAGAGTAACTAAAGAATTATTAGTATTAAACAAATTCTTCAGCAGATAGGATTGTGAGATTATAAAAATATATTCTACAAAATGTCTCAACATACTGGACTCTTGTAAGCAATAATGTGTTTGTACACATCTATTATTTACCCAGCAGTTTTTCTCTTCTCTGTGTTATCCCATATGCTTAATGACTATAAACTAGCTTGGATGTTGATTGTTCAAATCTGTTTTGGTGATGGTCTGCCCCAGGAAATCTGGAGTGTGACATGGCTAGTATCTTTGTGGGATGAATCCATTTATAAATTAGCACCAAAACGTTTATTGTATAAATGACCCACCAAGAAAAGTGCTAATAGAAGCAGATACCAGGGCAGATTAGGCAGATGGAAGAAAGGTGAAGGAAAATCAGTTTAAAAGTTTTAGTTAGAGAGTTTGTTCAAAGTAGGCCAAAAGGGCTTTTGTGGCCAAATGGCTCATATACCCATCCAAATGCAGAGTCTGTCAAACTTTTTCTCTAGTTCCCTATTGGTGAAGAATTCATTCCAACTGAGGTCAGCCACTTCACTCTCTGGTTAGGTTCCCTGGCAATCTCTGCCTTGAAGAAAGACACTAGTGGTCCTATTCCATTTAGGTAATAGGGTATTAGTTCTTTCTTGGCAGCCATTGGATGGAGCCTGGAAAAGGTATTGTCATGGGTTCTAAAGGCCTGTTAATGCATTGGTAGAGGCTTAAGGACTACTCAAACAGGGAGATTTCTTCCTCAGGGCTTGTCTATACTTACCGTGCAGCTGTAGTGTTTAGTAAAGACACTATCTATGCCAATGGGAGAGCTTATCCCATTGGTGTAGGTGCTCCACCACCCTGAGAAGCGGTAGCTATGGAGTGGGAGAAGCCCTTCCATAAACATAGTACTGTTTACACTGGGGCTTAGTTTGGTATGACTACATTGCTCAAGGGTGTGGATTTTCCACACCCCTGAGCAATGTACTTATATTGACATAAGTTACTAGTGTAAAACAAGCTTCAGACTCCTGTTTCCACTCCTTTCCTCCTCTGTGTGCCCAACAGCACAAGGCAAACAGCAGGGCCTCTGAAATATTACATTCACATGTAGAAGCTAAATTGAGAGCTGCTTCCAAATTAGTTTCTGGAGTAAAACTTGAGAAGAAGCCCAGCCATCAGCAAAGTGGTGCTGAGTGTAGTGGCCAGGCTGGAGGAAGAATGTGGCATCCTGCCTTTGAAGTCTGGTGGCAGCACTTAGCCACAGATTTGAACTGTCTGTTTACAGTTTACAGATAGCAGGCCTCTTGCATCTTAAATACATAAAGTAACAAAGCTTATGAAAAGAAATATGTGCAATATCCTAGATCAGTAACAGAATAGGTATCCAACTTTAAGCTGATAAAATGAATAATACAAAAAAAAATCATTTCCTTCTTCGTTTTCCTACTAAGTCAGGGGATTAGAATTAAGTGTTTCCTTGACATCTCAAACCCCTAATGCAGGCAGTACAGCAGGCATTTGAGATGGCATCAGCTTTGTATTGGAAACCCAGAATCCTTGGCCTGAATTCGGGACTTCGTGCATAAATGAAGGAGGAAATGATTTTCCAATCTCTATTTTTTTAAATGTAGCTGTTTATAATTATGAAGTCTGTACTAATTTTCTGTCACTTAGTGTGAATCTTTAACTAAAAGGTTTTGCAGATCATCTTTACTGCTTCTTTCTAAAACATTATTCGAATGCTGCATACAATTGCTTTTTGTTAGGGTCATTTGTGTCAGAGCCATCGTGTGTGTATCTATAATTAAAAAAACTTTACTACAGTAAATAGGTCTCACAAGTTTCCTTTTTGTTAAAATGAATTTAATCATCACCTTGATCACCTTGAAAGATCGGTCCTTCAGCCTTCGTATAGATTGCGCAGATCACAACACGTCTTCCATCCTTCTCTTATCCTGGCCTTCCTTCTCCATGTGCGGCCAGGCCTTTTCACGATAAAATCTTCCCATCTCTTTGAAGGTCGGCCGAGTGGTCATTTCAGTTCTCGTGGGTACCACTCGTGATAGCTGCAGTCCATCAATTGTCAGTGAGCCTAGATAAATGCCCGGCCCATAGCATTTTACTGTACCTGCTTTCAATGACATCTCACACTCCACTCTGCTGTCTGATCACTTCACTGGGGACTCAGTGGCAGATTGAAATCTCCAGAATTCTTCTTTCCATCGCCCTCTCTGTGACAAGCAGTTGTTGCTCCTCTATCTTCGTCTGTGCCCATGTTTCGCCGCCATACAACATTTCATAGTAGCATTAAGATACTGTACTTTAAGCAGTGCATTTCAAACTGACTAGTGCACTTCTCAAGTAGTTGGTCTTTTGGCTTTTGACCTTGTGTCTCTTAATTTTGGAGTCTTCTTGGGTTGTTGAATGCTTCTGAATATCTATTCAGTGGTTAGAAAAAGTCAAAGAAGCAATTTTCCATCCCCTCGCTAAGCGCGGTCTTTACAGCTATTTTTTAAGTGCTAGTGCGAGCCCCACTAGCCCACATCTCTTGTCTTGGGCTGGGAATCTCAGTCCAAAATGCTGTGTACACATACCCACAGAAATCTTAGTGTAGCGTTTTGTACACTGTGTGTTTTATAATAACAAAACCACCTTCTTCCTTCATAAAACACAACTAACATGGTTATGTTTGTTCAGGTTTGCTGCAAACCTTTTTCTTCCATATCACCACTTTGTAAGAAATAAAAGGTCATTTAAATCGAGTTAGTTTTCAGTGTAATAGAAAGGAAAATTCAATCTTAGATACATACAGGTCTGTCTCATCTTATGCGGGGGTTCCGTTCCACGGTTAGCGCGTAAAGCAAAAACCGCGTATAGCCAAAATTCCATTGAGTTCAATGGCGGGCGAAATCGCCCGCACTACAGGTATAGTATTAAAATTGTTATTTTTCTCTTTTTTGTTTGTTTTTTGCCAACCGCCTAAAGTTGAAATCGTGCATGTTAAATGCGCGTAAGATGCGACAGACCTGTAGCACAGATCATTTTTATAATAATATCTGTTAATCTATATTAACATATTAAATATATTCCCCATGTAACTATATTATTCACTTGTATTACATTATTCAAGTAAAATGACAGGATATAAGATATGTAAACAGTACAATGTGTTGTAATTACTTCTCACGTTCTCTGCAGGAATGCTGCTGTTAATGCTGCAGCTGTAATCTAAAGCGTTAACAATACAGGGATATTTGAAGGCCCACAATTTCAAAAATCAGCATGAACTTCTGCATGCCATGTTCCCTATTTGCACATGTGCAATCCTGTGTGTGGGTGGGCTCATGGGCTCTGGCTATTTCTATGTACTATGGGTGCATGCAATCATGACTTAAAAATTTTGGGCCAAAATAGCATTTCAAAAGTCCCAAAATCTAACTACAATTTCACTGGTATCTGGGCATACAGTGTACATCAGGGTCGGCAACGTTCAGCACGCGGCTCGCCAGGGTAAGCACCCTGGCGGGCCAGGCCAGTTTTATTTACCTGCTGATGCGGCAGGTTCGGCCGATCGCGCCCCCCACTGGCCATGGTTCGCCGTCCCGGGCCAATGGGGGCGGCGGGAAACGGTGCGGGCGAGCGATGTGCTGGCTGCGGCTT